CCCTACTTTTTGAGATTTTTTACTTATTCTTTTTGTTGACTTTGGGGCTAATATTCTATTTTGTCCTAGCACTGTAAATAGACCCTCAAGACACCCTATTTCCTCTCTCTCTCTCTCTGTCTCTCTCTCCTCTCCTTTATGTCGTGATCACCATTTCTTCTCTCTCCAAGTTCAAGCTTCTTCAGATCTACTCATTTCAAGTTATCCTCTCACCTTGCTCCTTTGAGAAAGATTGTTGAGTGCATCAAGGGTTTCGTTTTAATTTGAGCAGATCTTGTTTTCGTCGTCATTGAGTTTTGAGGTTTTCTTCTCTCCTTCTCCTCTTTTCTTCAAGAGGTAGGGATTTCTTTACTCATTTTCAATGCCTCGTTATAGATAGAAATGTAGTAGTTTTTTTCGCATTAAAAGCATGTTTTGCCATGAGATTTTCAAAAGCATGACTTGTGGGTTAGGGTTTTGAGGTTTTGAGAGTTTAAACCTTATGTTATTGTTGTTTTAGGGAAGTTATGGGTTAGTTGAGCTTATGTTTGAGGGTTGCCTTGAAAGCCCTAGATTATATTATTTGTTTTGAGTTATGGGATTTAATTGGTGTTGTGTATGGGTTGGGTTATGATTGTATACCAACAAAACTGGAGTTTTTATAAGTTAAATGAGGCTTTTGGCAAATGGTTATGGATGTTGAAGAATTGAGACAATGGGTTTTTGTTTTGATATAAAAGGATGTTTTGCAAACTCTTTTGTAAATTGAGAAAGAAAATAGGTTATACCTTGGGTAAAATGTTGTTGTAAGAGTTATTGTTGTTGCTGAGCTTGACGCCTTATGAGGATTATATTATTTTATTATGCCTTAGAGGTTTTGTCCTTGGGCATTGATAGATGATTGTATTAATTGTTGTTGAATAGAACACACATGTTATGTCATATAGAATACTTGTGTAATTTGGATTTTATGTGGAATTGTGATGAGTTGGTTGAAGGAGTGCTATATATAGGTTTCTCTACCTTCAAGTTAGCACCCGGTAAAGTGTGCGCCTGGACAGTGATCCCTCTCCCTTCTGATTTGTGCCCGGTAAAGTGTGGTAGGTCCCTCTCCCTTCCGGTTTTGATACGGTAAAGTGCAGTGCATGCGTTGAGACAGGTTCCTCTCCCTTCTGCCTCGCTTGCAGTAAAGTGGGTTATGTTATGAAGGGTGCATCATTTGTATTCTGCCTTGGTCGATAAAACATAGGAATATGTGTTGTTTTTCGTTATTAACTTTTGAATTTATTTATATACATCCTGGTGGGTTCTCCATTCACCCTTATACTTAAAACATGGTAGTTGTCTTGGTATGTACATGGTGAGTTGGGATGCAAGACCAGAGTGAGATTGGAATGTGTGAGCTTGTGTTTCAAAAAGAAGTGTTGTGAGATTCTTTTCAATTAAAATGGGACGGTAAAAAGGTAAGACGGGTTATGTTTTGCATTGTGGTCAAAGAGGATCTTTTGGGAAAAAGTACATAAGTATGTAAATTTTGGATATAGAAATGTCATATTATTTATATAATATGGTGTGAAGCATTCATGATCATAGTTATCTGTATATTGCTATTGTTTAGAATCATTTGGGATTCCTACAGAACCTTTATCTTCATCCCATGCTGTTGAAAACTTTTCAGGCACAAAGATAAAGAATTCCCTGAAGTTGAGAAGCTCACTTTGTTCTTCGACTTCGGGGCCACCTTAGTTGTTGGCAACATGCCACTACAATTGTAAAGGGTCAACCCCTTCGTTTTGTTTTTGAATGTAAGCCTGGGGGTATTTTATTTAATTGTAACTCATTTTGCATTCGATGTATGAACGAGAGGGGATTTCTATTAGTTATTGATACTAATGATTCTAGCTTCCACATGTTTGTATATGAATTGGTTAATAATAATGGAATTGGTAATTCTATTTGAGTAATAAAAGTCCGGAGCATTACAACTCAAAAAATTATTAATAGGAACTGTAATATGTCACCTAAATATTTTTTCAATTTTTTTTCACTTTATGTGGTATGATGGGGTTACAAATTTTTAAATATGATGGTTCTCACATATGCACATATTATTTATTGCATAAATACATATAGAGAGTGAAGAAAAGAGTCAAGTTGATGTGGTGATTAAATGCATTTCTCTTATCAATAAGTGCTATTTTTTCTTCAACTCTTAAAAAAAAAAAAAACCTTTTTTTATTTTTATTATTTTTTTTTTATCTAAGATTACCATTTTGTCCTATCAAATTTCAATGTAGACAAAATCTTAGTTTTAAATTTAGTTTGATTTTTCAAAAACTATTTTTAAATAGGTTTTCTTTTGCCTTAGTAAACTTTTTTCATATTTTAGTAATTTTTTTTTTCTTTTTAGATGCATCTAATCTAGATAACTCTAAAAAGTATAAAATTGACTTATATATGAAAAAAGTTCACTAAAGATGAAAGAAAATCCGTTTAAAAATATACAAAACCTTTTGTTCAGATTTTTCTTTCGTTTTTAGGAAACTTCATATTTTAAAAAAGGATAAGTTACAATTATAGTTCCTAAAGTTTAACACCTTTTTTTGTTTAAGTCCCTAAAATTTTAATTTTGTCAATTATGGTGGTGCTTGTTTTGAGGGATTGAGAGATTAGTCTATCCGGACCAATAGTCCGTTGTTTGGCTCAAAATTTTGGATACCGGACTATTAGTCCCAAATCTATTAGACTATTGTGTCCCATGGGGGAGTGCCACAAATAGAGGGATAAGAGGGGATATGGGATTAGGTTGTGAAATGACCATTTTAACCTTCTACTATTTAATTATGTATTATATTTAGTAAGATTCAATAAAATTTAATTGTCTCAATTTAAAAATAAAATAATTTTATTTAATTTTTATTGACGTTTTATTTATTTAATTTTTTTATAGATATTTTATTGATGTTTTATTTTAAAATTTTGTTTATATTTTATTTTATTTTATTATTTAAATTTTAATAGATGTTTTATTTAATTTTATTATTATTAATTATTATTATTTTTTAAAATAAATTTATTTAAATTTTTAATTAAAAAATAACATATATTTTTATTGATATTTTATTTATTTAATTTATTTAATTTTTAAAAAATAAATTTATTTAATTGTGTAAAAAATAAAATAAAATAAAATTTTATTTAATCTAGTTAAAAATAATTAAAATATTGAAGATATGTTTAATATTGCTATTAGTTAGTAAATAATTGAAAAAGGTAAAATAGTCATTTGAACATTTATCCTTCTCCATAATATCCCAACTAAACATAGGATTCATATCCTATTCAACCAAATAGTCATTTCCTAACATCTAATCTCATGACTAAACAAACATGGATATAAATCCAGTCCAACCAAATAGTCCGGGGACAAGGAATCCCATGACTAACAGTCCGGTGGATTCCAATCCCTCATTGTCCAGTCCGTCCAAACAAACACACCATAAGTCCCTAAAGTATTAAATTCGAATTAATTTAGTTCTGAGGACAATATAAAAATAGAACATAAGTTTAAAAGTTATATAAATTTGTGATTAGATTAGGCCTAGATTTTAATTTATCGTTAACTTAATTATCCTCTATACATGTGTTTTTATAATTGGTATATTTCTCTCAGACTAATTAATTCTAATTGCTTATATAGGTCTTTTCCTATTTCTATTCTACTATTATTTATTTCTTTTAATACACAGTTATCTATTTTATCTGATTTTTTAGCTATTTTTTGTATTATTTTATATTTCATTTCATTATCTTTTTCTTGTTCCACCATTAATTCTGCTAGACTATAATTACTTAGATCCTTTGTTTTTTTGGTGGTATTATTGAAAAGATTCACTTGGAGAGTTATACAATAAAAATAAGAATAATTATCTATATTATTTTGTACGAGGGCTAACTGGTGACCTTTTTTCCAATAGTAAATGTTGAACTTTATGTATAATTTCTATTTTGTTTTCCTTAAGATTTTCATTAGGTTCTTTTCATAACCTGATTATAGTATTATTTTGTTCAATAATTATTTGTAGTGCAATACTATTATTTAGATTGTTTTGTTCGACTTCTTCAATGTATCTAATGCTCATATATTAATATTGGCTAAACTAAGAAATCAAATTCTAATATCAATTCTAAAACACAAGCGCGGAGGATAATTATGTTAATAATAAATTAAAATTCGGACTTTATAGAATTTTATATAACCTTTGGGTTTCTGTTTTATTTTTATATTGTCTTCAAGATTAAATTGATTCGAATTTAATACTTTAAGGATTTAATTGACAAAATTGAAAATTTAGGGACTTAAATGAAAAAAGTGTTAAACTTTAGGGACTATAATTGTGATTTATCCTTCAAAAAAAATTCGTCTAAAAATAGTTTTTCAAAATGAAATAATGTTTTATCTCTTCTCATTAAAAAAATGATCGGTCATAAAAATATAAAGATGTAATTGATATTTTAATGAGAATAATTCAATTTGAAATAAAACATAACATTATGGAGATATGATTTTTTTTAAAACAAGCTACCAAATTCAGATTTAGTTGTATACATTAAAAATTGATAGAACTCAATGACACTCTTAAGGGAAAAAAAATAGCCTTTCCTTTCGTAATTTTGTAGTAATGTTTAATGATGCTTTGTTGCAAATGATTCAATTATTTTTTTAGTATTATAGTTATAGGTTCTGTTTGGAAATTTTTTCTTATTATAAATGGGATTTTATTAAATAATGAAGCAGTAATATGTTATTTTATCTTTTGACTTTTTATAATAATTTATCATATTGATGCTGGAAAGATTGTCTTGTTCTGAAGAGTAATACTAGGTCAAAAAAAATCTAAGAAACATAATATGATTTTAAATTAAACTCTTGGATGTTAAGACGTACAATAATATGAACGATATACCATATATTTTACTATGTTATGAATATGGGAAGCAATTTATATTTAATGACTTACCTCCTATATCAATTGATCCATGCAAATAGCTGTTCGATAGGTGTAAAGTCTTGAGTGATGAGAGTGCACTAAGAGATGATAGGATGCTATTACTTAAAATATTGTTGTCCAATTTAAGTACCTTCAGATTGCTTAACAAAGATAATCTTTCCAAACCTGCAAAAATCAATTTCCATTTTAGGAAACTATCATCACAAATAAAGTTGTGTTTGGTTTATGAATTTGGTAAGAAATTTGGAAAGAAAAAAGAAAAATGTAAGTGAATCCTTTCCTTTTTCAAACATCTCAACAAATCCATAAACCAAACACAATCTAAAAAAAACAGTAAAATTGACATGAAATTAATATTATTATAAAGAAAAAAAGTTAGTTTGTTTACTAAGAAATTTAGAGGCCTTCAGAATAATGATATACAAACATTATTTTTGTACAAATTTGTTGTCTGCAACAATATTGTAAATGAACAAACTAGCAAAATGAGATTACAAACTCTAAAAAATTGGATTATGATCCTCTTCATTCTAAAATTATAATGGAAGATTTCTATTATATTATCTAAGGGTTTGTAATTATTCTTTTTAAATTTGAAATTATAATAAATTCTTATAATTATTTGACAACATTTAGAGGGTGTTTGTGATGATCTAAATAAGTATACTTTTTTATTTTTTTTACGAAAAAAAATGTGAAATATGAATTGAGTTTGAAGTGATGTGGTAAAGAAATGATGTGACCAAAAAAAAAATAATTATAATCCAAATAAAATAATGTACTAAAATATCATATGTTATTTTAGTATATGCTGAACATCCAGTTAGATGATATAATGAACATCTTCCATTATAATCATATAATGGAGAGCATCTCATTCCACAAAGACCTATGCACCTTGTTACCTTTTATATCGTCTAACGAAGTGCTACCCAAATCCAGCTCCTCTAAGTTGCTCATATTGCGAAATTCTACACACAAAAAAAGTAAATAAATAAATAGAAGAGAGAGAGAGAGCACTACTATAAAAACAGATAAATATCATATTTTTTTTGTGTGATGTATATTATTTAATCAAATTTTTTAAATTTTATTAAAGTGTGATCTTTGAGAGTGTGATTAAAAGGGGTCATTTTTAATCACATTTTTTAAGTGTGATTAATAACATTTAGATCACACATTTTAAGTGTAATTAAAAATATTTAGATCACACTTTTTAAATGTGATTAAAAATATTTAGATCAAACCTTTTAGTCCCCAAAAGCTCATTCGTGAAAAAAAAAAAATTACACTCACTAACTTCTCATTTGCTCTTGTAGAAATTCGAACCATCAACCCCTCTCACATCATAATCCTTATACAACACACTTTTTCCACTACGCCTCTATAATACCATCTGATTATACATGCAACATATATTATTTATATAGTATATAGACCCGTATTAATATAAAAGTATATACATAAAGATAATTATTTTTTATTGAACATAATTTATGTAAAATAAATTATTTACTAGAAAAAAAAAGAGACCACTTTGGCGACTAAACATAATTTTAGTCGCCAATTCTATACTTTTGGCTACTAATTATTTTTTTGTCGTTAAAAAATTTTATTCTCGGGCTAAAATTACCACTTTTGGTGACTAAATTTCTTTTTAGTCGCCAAAAAGTCTCACTTTTGGCTACTAAATATCTTTTTAGTCGTCTAATGCCTCAATTTTGGCTACTAAATTATTTTTAGTCACCAAAAAGCCTCACTTTTGGCTACTAAAATTTTTTTAGTCGGTAAAAGCCTTACTTTTGGCAACCAAACACCTTTTTAGTCGCCCAGTGTCTCACTTTTGGCTACTAAATTTTTTTTAGTCGCCAAAAAATCTTACTTTTGGCTACTAAAATTTTTTTAGTCAGTAAAAGACATATATGGGCAACCAAACAGATTTTTAGTCTCCAAAACCTATACTTTTGGCTATTAAATTTTTTTAGTCGCCAAAAATCTTTACTTTTGGCTACTAATACTTTTTTAATCGCCAAAACCTATACTTTCAGCAGCCAAAGGTATTTTTTTAGTCACCAAAGATACTTTTTCTTGTAGTGGAATGTGATTATATATATATATATATATAATAACACTTATTTAAAAGTGTGGTTAAAAAATAGTAATGTATATATAATCATACTTTAATTAGAATATGTGATTAAAAAATATATAAATAATCATATTTTAATTAGAATGTGTGATTAAAAAAAAAATATATATATATAATCACACTTAATTGAAAAGTGACATAAAAAATGAATATTATCACACTCAATCAAATTAAGTGTGATTAAAATATCAATCTCATTTCTTTTATCACACTTTCAATAAAATTGAGATATTTTTTTTTATCAAAGTGTGATCTTTAACTATTTTTGTAGTAGTGGAGAGAGAAGAATGGAGTGTAAATTGGATCTTATCACTATGTTTAATATTTTAGGAATGGTAATTGGCAGAGAAAAGAAAACGAAGAAAGGAAATGATTTTGATTCTCTTTGTTTGGTTAAATTGGAAAGAAAAGAAAATATAGTCTCTCCAATTTTATTTGGATAAATTACATAAAACAAAAGAAATTTTTATAAGTTATTTTACTCAAATAACCATTAATGTTTTTATTTCTTTTGTACGTAGATGGATAATTTTGGTAATAGACGAAATTAGTAATCTTCTCATTTCTTTTCTCTTTCAATCTCATCAATTTTGGAGACTCAAAAATTGAGTTATGAGAGAAATATTTCTCTCCATTAATTTCTTCTCATTTCTCTCTTGTTTAATAATTCAAACAAGCGATTAGGATCAAGAGATATTTCTTTTTCTTTTTCTTTTTTCTCTTCTCTCCAAATTACTCAATCGAAACAAGTTGTCTTTGTTTTACAAACTGATTACAATAATTTATAATTACAAATTTTTACAAAACATGTTTATGGGATAGTTTTGAAAATTTCTGAAAATATAAACAAAAAACTAGAAATGTAAACATTACCAAACAGCCCCTAACATATCAATGTAATGGCAAATAAATTTCATGTATTATTGAATGTTGCTCACCAAAAGCCATTTTGGCATTCGAATGTGTTAGATTTTTATTCTTGGTAATCCTATTTGACAAAAATCCTTTCAGTTGTAATTGCATTCGTTCTTTTATTTTAGTAGGCTATGAGTTTTTATATACAAATCCAACCCGAATTATGCCTTGCAGAGATATTTCAAAAGTTAATTCTTTCATGTTTGCTACTTTGCTGACTATGTCAGGGAAGTCGTTTAGTCTGCTACCTTTCAGAAGTTTTACTCAGTTGCAAAAGCGGAGATTGTGATCTTTTAGAAGTTTCACTCGCTTGTAAAAGTACTGAAAGTTGTTTTTTTCCGCTCAAGTGGCCATTCCTGCACTCAAGCGTAGATTCGCTCGAGCGGCCATTATTGCGCTCAAGCGTAGATCACGGATCTGTTTTCTATAAATAAGTGTTTCAGTCCGAATTTAGGATACGGCTTCCAGATCTTGTTTTTATGTATTAAGGTTTTCATCTGGAGTTTCTTTACTTGTTTCATTTGATATCTATGAGAGATTAATCATGAATTGAGTGAATTATATCAAAGGGTTTGTTTAGTTTGTTTTATTCAAAAAAAGAGAGAGTTGTTTTTCGGTAGATTTTGGGAAATTCAGGCTTGAAGCTTTGGTGGATTTTGGAGTAGCTCATCATCGTGATGCGACATCAACGTTGTGGATTCAACGTTGACAAGACAATTCCGAGGTGAAGACGGGGCTGGAAGAGGCACACAGGGGTCAGTTCGATTCGGGCGTAGATTCGCTAGGTAATTGAGAATGCACTTGTGTAATTCTTTTATATCTTCTTAGTAGATTGTTTTGTGACATTTGTCCGTGGTTTTTTTTTATCACAATTAGAGGCGTTTCAATTGTGATTTTTTCACATAAAATCGTTGTGTTGATTTGTCTTTGATTGTTTAATTGAGATTGCTATTTACTGGTTAAAATTGATACATAATCACAAATTGATATCTAGGAGATTTCTAGATTTTTCATAATGTATTAGCATATTACCTGTATTATGCACAAGTTTAAATAAATAATTGAAAATTAGTTTTTACGCTAAAATAATAATATAAAATTTATTTAAAATATGTATTAAAAATAATTTATAATCAATTAAATTTTATTCATTTTTATTATAGTTACACATAAGACATAAATTTTATTCTGATATCATTAATTGTGTGCTCTAAGTTCTTAATAAAAAACTGCATGTCATAATTTAATTGGTAAAAATTGAAGAATAAATTACAAAAATTATATTTACGATAAAATATAAATACATTTTGTTTTACAAGTTTCACAATTTTAAATTATCATATAATAGTAGTAAAATTATATTTGTTAATATACTTTTCTTTTTCTTATTTTGTAAAGTCTAAAAATTTGTCTATTCAGAATTGAAAATTGTCTTATATCATAACTCTTACGTGAAAATAGATTAGAATTAACTTGTGGTGTTCGACTAAACATTAAAAGTGACCTAGAACCCACTCGACTCAATATTTAGGGTAAATTACACTTTGCACCCTTGCACTTTACACAAAATCTTACTTTAGTCCTTATACATCAAATTGTGACACTTAACTCCTTGTACTTTTGGTCAAGTATCACATTGACCCTTTTGTTAATAGTGAGGCTAACATAAGTTATCCTTTAGGGAGCTAAGTGTCACAATTTTGATGGGTAGAAACTAAAGTGAGATTTTGTGTAAAGTACATGGGTGCAAAATATAATTTATCCTCACATGTTTTTCATGTGATTAATCTCTGTTAACAATGAGACTAACAGAAGGGTCAAAGTAACACTTGACCAAAAGTGCAGGAGGTTAAGTGTCACAATTTGATGTGTAGGAGCCAAAGTGAGATTTGATATAAAGTGCAGGGGTGCAAAGTGTAATTTACCCCAATATTTATGTTTATGTGACCTTCACCTAATCACTAAAAATTGTCTTTATCAGTTTGTGACTGGTGTGAGCTAATTTGGGGTTTCAATATTTGATTAAATATTAAAAATGAGGCAAGAAAATCTAATTCGAGTCTATTTTTTTTTTCAACAATTCCTAGTTTAAGCCTATAATAATACATCATATTTTAATAACTCAATTATCATTAAAAAAAAAAAAAACTTAATATTTGCTATGCTTTTTATCAATAAATAAAAAATTTATAAATATTAAGAAAATTACATTTAAACAAATTCTAACATAAAATTTTTATTTTAAAACTTTAAGACGAACACATTTTCTTTGACTATATCACTAAACTTTGATATGCCAACTAAAACAAATTTTAATCATTATTATATGGAGAAACATGTGATAAGAGTTTATAGTACACAATTTTAAAAAGTAATATTAATTCAAAATTTTTAGTATGAAAAATATGTAACCAACTTTATATTATTTTGATTTATGGATTTGGGTTGGAATTTGAAAAGAGAAAGGAAAACAAGATAGGTAAAATATGAATCAAAAATAACTTCATTTTACTTTATTTCACACACTTTCATTTTTTCTTTCAAACTTTCTACCAAAAACCATGAACTAAACACATCATCAATGTTTGAAAGGAGTTTTGTATACTTTATTGTATTGATATACACAATACACTATTAAAAAAGAACCAATATGATATTTAGTGAGAGAAGCAAGTTCTTAAAATGGATCATTATTCACATTATAAAGGAATAAAAGTTAGCCAACAAAAGATTTTTTAATTATTTAAAAAATTAAAATCAAGAGAAAAAATCTATGGAAGATGTGAACTAATTCTTATATTTTAGTGGTACAAAAATTTAAATATTAAAATTGATCCTTTTCAAAATTTTAAATTTTAAATGGATTAATTAACTTTCTTTTTGAAATATGTAAATCAAGGTATAATA